ACAGAACGCGCGGTTATTTTTTTTCGAAAAATCTTAAGACGTTTCGTGATTTTTTCTTGTGTTTCTAATTTTTATTTTTCCTGTACTTAAATCTTTTTATTTTTTCTTTAGGCCTTTTCGGGGGTCATGTCCCCTCGATCCGACACTGCGATTACATCAGTAACATATTTAACAGATTGAATTACACATCTGAATTTTTTTCGATAAAATATTTTATGTAATTTTTATTTGCTTTTAGAACATTTTAAAAACATGTAAAACGTATTTTATTGATCATATTTTGCAATGTTTTAAATTTTCAAAATCCACCCCTTAGTTATTATATTTCCCCTTCTTAGAGATACTATATCTCTCTTAGAGACACTATATATATATATATATATATATATATATATATATATATATATATATATATATATATATATATACTATAGCTCGACTGTGAGTCGATTGTGATCGGTGCATTACGATAGTTTTTGTATTCAGAATGTTTTGGCCGAATATGTCATATTACAAATTATGTAGAATGACGAAGTCTAAACTCATCTCATGCTGTGATACGATTTTATTCGTTTCAATGATACAATTGGAATTTCAAATTGCATATGGAATATTTCCGTTAATTGAGCCACTAAGTAATGTGACACAAGACGCACAGGCAAATATATCAGGCACCCATAATTTGTTCTGATCACCGATTTCACCCTCGAAATAAATTCATAGGCCTTTCTTTAGATTTATTTAGTAAAAAGACCAGTAAAAACTGTATGAGACGTATGTGGAGAAGATCATCTTAACACGTTTTCGTGAGTTCCAGAACCCCTTCCCATAATTGTAATTATAAATTGTTAAAAGATGGGTAAAGGTTTAATATAAATAAAAATAAATTTTAAAAAAGCGCGCGAGGGGCAATATTTAAAAAATAGACATTTTCGTTCCTGAGTTATAGAAAATTAATTTGCATCGATAAACAAATTGCAAGTGTGATTTTTCTGCATTGCTAAGAAAATAGTAACTCGCCCTTATCACTACTTCTACAAGCAAAAGGAGAGTTCAACAAAACGTGAACATAGTGGAGCTACATTTACGTCCAGATGCAAAACAAGGGGCCATCTCAGCATTTGCTCAAAGGATCAAGGAAACTGGACAACAACCTGATCGAGATGGGGGTCATTGACCCAGAAGCTGAAGTACATTATTTGTTACAAACATACAAGTCTTTTTAAAATAAATATACAAGTGTGAACTAATTCATTATATATCACTGTTTTGTTAAAATAAACATTATTTTTCTTTTTGATAATCAGTATAGTCTCTAATTGTACAGAAACAGTACTGTAACAGAAAATATTTTACTTTTAACTTAAATTTGTGAACCGACTTCAATTGTTTAATATCATCGGGCAATGCGTTGTAAACTAACGTACATGTATTGCATGTGGATATCTGATAGTGAGCTATTGATGCTGACACTTGATGAACGTAATTTTTACGACGTGTGTTGTAATTATAAATATCAGTATAGCATGAAAATATGTTCCCACCGTTAAGTAAGTCATTTTTGACAAATATTACAGATTCGCAAATGTATAGGCAAAGCAGTGGTAAGATTCCAAGCTCAATGAAGAGAGGCTTGCAGGGATCACGCGAATGGCATTTGTTCATTATTCGAATAATTTTCTTTCGCAATCTAAAGGTCTGAGTACTACATGATGAGATTCCCCAAAATAGTATGTCATTTCTCAGGCGGTAATGCACATTTGCAAAATACACACACAAGCTGCATGAAGGCTGACAGAATTTGAAAGAATTCTAAATGCGTAACATAATTAACTTAATTTAGGGTTTAATTTTGTTATATGCACATTCCATTTGAGGTATGACTGAATTGAGAGACCTAGAAATTTTGTACCCTGAACATCAGCTATTTGCATATTCTTCATTTCAAAGGAGCATTCGATTGCTGGTTTGAAATGCAAAAACGCATTGAAAAAGTTTTTCCTTCTTTAGCTATTAATTTGTTACTACAAAAACAAATTGAAAACTTCTAAAATCATTCTATTTATTGTTTCTTTTTTGCAAAGAACATTCGTGTCATCGGCAAACAGAACCATTCTTACATTTTTAATAGACGAGGGCATATCGTTTACGTATAACAAAAAGATAGGACCTAAAATCCAGCATTGCGGGAAAGCATATTCAATTGATAAAGAATTCGAAAGATAAGTAAATAATGTCCTTTCGTGCTTGCATGGTATTTCTACTCTTTGAGATAGATGTTTAATGTACGTGGTTATCCAATCTAGGGCCATACCACGAATTCCATAACAAGGTAATTTTGATAGCATGATGCTCTGGTCAATACGTCAAAAGCTTTCGAAAGATCTAAAAATATTCCAATACGTAGGTGCTTCTTTTTGATCCATGGATGAGGCGACATCTTTAAGAAATGAACATATGGCTGTTTCCGTAGAGTTTGTTTTTCGAAACCCATGTTGGCAATCTGAAAACGCGTCGTGTTTACTAAGAAATTTTTGAAAAACCCGACAAAAAAATTTGCCATTAATTTTTAATTTCATTTTTGTTGCCTTTTTATTAAAAAAAGCGGCTTAATCTTAGCTGTTTTAAAAATATCTGGAAAGATTCCTGTGCATAAGGATTGTAACCCCACGCGTATCTGTCTGTCTGTCTGGAACGGGAATGGGAATTTCAATAATAATGGTCAAAAACATTTGCGTCCACAAACATTTACTTTAAAAAAATTGATGATGATGATGATGATGAATTACAATTATTTTACAATTTTTAATAAAAGTATAAAACGACCCTTTCTTTTATTATGACATGGTCATCTATTTAAATTAATACAATACAAAGAACAACGGGTCGTCATGGTTACTTTGTTCTGAAGGCACCCTTTCCACCCCCTCGCTTCGCTCAGTAAGTGTTCGACCGCATTTATGCGGGAGCCAAGCGGATTATTTACCCTCGTTTCTGTTGGCGGGCCTCATTGCACGCCCGATGGTGTAGTCGCCCGTCGTCCCTGTTCGGGCCGCCCCCTTCCAGGCAGAGGCGGTGAACACAGGGGCTCCCAGCGTGGCCGTTTGATGTCGCCGCGCTTCCCGCGGGGCCCACTACTCCAATCAGCGTCACCAACCTCAGGCAGCCACGGTGATCATCGGCGATGAATGGAAGTCAAACAACTTCCCTCCGCAATATGCTTCGAATGCTACTTGATTAACTGAGCAAGCGAAGTGAATACTCGTGACCGAACTATCGAATCGAGATCGAAATCAATTGATTTCTCATGGCCGAGTCAAGACATCCAGTCGAATCGACCACTCCCGGCCGTCTCAAGCCATCCGGTGCTTACCGAGCGGTGGCCTAGTAACATCAAACCTCGGTACCCCCTCCCTCCAAAGAACGTGTATCCTCCCGATACGCGGGGTTGAATTTCCCGGAGCAGGGTGGAGGCGTGTGTCTGACCAATCACACGGGAACTCTTTCTTAAACGGCCAGAATGTCCGTTTCTGTTGTAAAAAACTATCCTCCTGTTTTCTTCGCACGTGCGCCGTTGACCGTTTGGTTGTAAATTCTTCCCCCGAGGAGGCGCACTCAGCGTTGGGGTTCATTTTATGAGCGGTCGCTTGAATAGGCGGCACTCACTTGACATTTGGCGCGGGGGTGTCCTGCCATAAACGTTTATAGAACCCTCGCCTCAATAGACGAACGGGCGCGACTGCCTACGACCCCCCCCTTTCCTCGCATATATACTTGCATGTGTGTGTATGTGTGTGTGTGCGTGTGTGTGGTGTGTGTGTGTGTGTGTGCGCGCGCGCGTGTGTGTAATATAAAATGTGTGTGCTTTCACAACCACGAAGTCTACAGAACTGTATACTTCGTATTCACATATAGTATAGTGGAAAATGAAAACATGTTAGTTATCTCCATAGCACTGGGTGAGAGAATTTCTTACATAGTGTCTAATGTAACGATCGTGAAGGAATTATGCGAGAAAATGGCGAACGACAATATGGCTCTGTAAACAAACTGGCTTCGTAATTATAACCTCAAACTTTTAAGGCTGGTTCACGCTTCGCTACACATTTAATGCCGAGGCTCCAACCTTCGGCCTACGCGATAAATAAAACACCCTTGTGTCTCTTCATCGCTTGTTTCCCTAAGTAGTACGTTTGTGCCGAACACGTAATGTACCATCACGGTATAAGAAAATTCTCGAGTATACCATTGCCGTGTCGTAGTTCATGATGAGGCTCCGGTCTTTGCGAGTAACAAAATATGGTTAGACCGGGACAAAACATTTTTTTCAACGTTTATGGCCAAAATCCTTTTTTAATGATTTTAAACCCCTTATCATTGAATTACCAAACAATGCTCTCGCTATTCGTTCTTCGCTTTCGTTTACCAATCCACGGTGTAAGAAATATTTTTTACACCGTGACCAATCTCGATACGGAGGTGATTTGTTACATTTACAATAGAGAATAGGAGAATTCTCTTACACCGTGGTTGAGAAACAAGCCTTTTTCTACTGAAACAAACTTCGTACAAATGCATGAAATTCAAAGGCATCATCATTACTAAATTAATTATGAACCACTGAAAAAAACACGCATATCCACGAATGCCCTCGTGGCTGTGAGTCTGTCGTTCTTTTGCTTCCGATTTCTGATCTGATGAGGCCACGGTATAAGAAATTATTTCTTTATACTTCTTACACCGTGCACGAGACAGATATTCAACTTATTAACGGACGGAAATTTTGTAGCAATCATGAAGATTGAGGTTGTCATAGTCTTCTACAGTACTTTAAATATGTGTTTTAGAACCGAATCCATAATCTTCCTCTTTCTCGTTCACTACATTCTAGGATTCGTCGCTGTGAGTCCGTGATGTGTGTGCAGAATATGGCGTGGTCAGGAGTGGTTGCAGTATCAACTCCAAGGAGTTTCGAAGCCAACGCAAATTATCTAGTTTCCGTGGCCTACACCAAGGAGAGCGAGAGTGGAGAGTTGTGCAAGAGCCGAACGAATTTTCGTCCCGCCATATTGCCTTCACGTTGACGTGTTTGTTCCGAGAGCGTCGAAAACATTTTCGTGTTTGCATTCTGAGGGACGTTTGTATTCTGTGTAATGTGGAAAGGATTCTTTGAGCGTTGATGGTGAGAAGAAAACTGTTATCCATGGAGTAGTGTCTAATGTGCCTACTGATTTGCGTTCTCTGATAATCACCTTTGCCGCTCGTATAACTAATAATGCAGGTGTATTTTTATCCTCTTAAAACAAGCCGTGTTGGGTTGTGTCAGGTGCTCAAATTTCATTTTCGAAGTGTACAATATTGAATAATGTCGGGATTGAAATTTTCCAAATTGTATTATTTGTCGTTATTTATTATGTTTTCTTTTCATTATAAATTAAAGTCATGAGAGACGGAAGTAACGTCAGGGTAATCACGATTAAACTTGGTATTTTTGCCTCGTTCCTTTAGTCTTGCCAGTAATGGATACTGATCGCCAGTCCCGAATAAATATGTCCGAAATTATTGTAATGATCATTGTTGAAACATTTTTTACGCAACTGTATATTCCCGCGCTTACCGGGATTTTTAGGAAAGTTGCTAATGCAAGAGTTTTACGATTTGAATTCGTTGCAAAGAGTAACCACAAAGCACGCCGATAAGTCCGGAATAAATGAATCCCTTGCGTTATATTTTGATAGATATGAATACACTATTGTTCTGTACCTTTGTCGTGTGATCAGCAGCAATGGATTCAATGCACCAAAAGTTAGCTTATAACCTTCCCCAAACTTTTCGTTATGGGAAAGACCTTTATTTTAGAATTGATATTCAATGTGAGTAGCTTCTGAAGAGGATTTTGTTGTGAATTGCATATTAATAAATACTTCTTATTTTGTTTGCACTTATAAAGCTAACTACTTTTTGTAGGATAGTAATTTGTTTTTAACTTCAGTATGCGACTAATCTCAATTATTTGAAGTTTTATTAGTCTTGTTAATTTTGTGAAAATAGCTTTCAAGGTGGTTTTGTGTATTTTTTTGACAAGCTTATATAATATTGATTACATTCTTTACTGTTAATGATGGAAATGGTATCCAAATATTAAAATTATTTAATCAGGAGTTTTATTTATTTTTTGCCATTTACTTTGTGGCTAACACACATTGAATTTTTTAGTGATGAGAATCAAGTTAAAAATATTAATAAGTACAGGAATTTTGGAAAATAATTGAAGTTCAACACCTTTTAATTGGAAAGGAATGTGCACATTGTGGACAACATAGACAACGGTGATGAATGAATGAATATATAAGGTATGTAGAATTTGTTGTTTTTTTTTCTTCTTTGTTTGCCTCTTGTGTTCTTGCAGTGTTTTTTGTAGAGGTTTCTTAAGGGTTTGCAAATATTGAAATGGCCAGTGAACCAGTAGGGTTTAGAGATGAAACAGTGGAAAAGAAAACAAAAAAAAATTGCCCGCACTTAAAACAGTTATCACATCTCAAAGTTTGAATTTATATTTTACTGCTAGTATTAGTATGTTTGGCTTCAATTAATTTGTTTATCCTGCATTGGTATTGATATTTCTCAATGTTTTATATTTAGTGCTGAAACAAATATCTTAAAAAATTAAATATTGTTTGAAATGCAACAATTTTTTTTGTTATTCAAAACAAAGGGATGTGATAGCTATTATTTTCATTAATATTTACTAAGGTTTGAAAACTAGTTTTACACATCACCAGAGAAAATTGTTAAAATTGTACAGTTACAGTAATCTAATAGGTTACCTAATAATAAATGGGGATGGTTTGAAGATTTGGTTATATTTTATATTGCTACATTGGTTTTAACACGTTGCACCTGATGAGCTGTGCAATTGTTCATGAAGTTTGTCATGTTTTTAAACTTTAATTTATTGGATATAATGAAAGTGCTGGTTATTGCCTGTCATTGATTATTTTAAATACTGTTTAGATAAAAAGAATTACATTAGATGATCATCAGGTTTAGAATTCAACTAAATTAGTGTAAATATTATTGTTATTGTTGTTATTATTATTATTTAAAAAAAAAAGATTAATTCTGATATATAACATATCTTCAGGCAAATGGAGATATATTAACGAAACGGAAAAGGTTTATGGTAGAACAGATTGATATACGTTTCTTCAAAAGACCTTTCGCATTATGGTATCACCATATTTTTAACTAGATAATTTGAAAAAATCTGGAATATAGTTGAAATGGAATAATTTAGTTTGAGTTAAAAAATATTATGGCAATGCTGAAGGTAAAATTTCCTAGAAATGGAACATAACTAATTTTGTTTAGCATTTTACTGTGAAAAAAATGCAACATAGTTCGTGAGTGACAAAAATTAATGTGATTTGATATTCTGTTATGTTTTATAACATTTTTATTGAAAGAAAATTTTTCTAAAAACTAAAATTACTAAATGACAATATTAGTCAATTTTAGAGCAATTTTCTGCTTTAGAAGATATATTTGTCTCATAGTTATATCTTTTATGACATTATTTCACTATTTAAAATGTTAGTAAGGCAATTATTCTTGGTTCTGTACATTAAAAATCACAATAAAAGTAGTCGCTATTAGAAAGGAGATGTGATTATATTCATAATAATTGTGTATATAATTACACGCTAAGATTGTCTGTGGCAGAAGTATTTTTATGGACAGCCACATGACTTATTTTAATACAGTCTTCCATATATTAGATCATACATGCTGGATGGACTGTTTCCTAGAAATTAGTGTGAGTGACGGTTTATTTTACCATTGCATTTATATTTTGTGAGAAAGAAACTTTTTTAATGAAAACAAATTATAATATTTAAATAAGATGTTAGTCCCATTTTAAGTGTGTCTACTCTAATACATTACATTGTACTATATTTGCTTGGTAGAATTCTGTATGTTAATATTCTATTTAATTCAATCATTTTTGTTGTATCATGTTACAAAGTCCATTTGAGTAGACAATTTTGTGTTTATGCCATATATAAAACAGCAAAAAATTTCCAATCCTATTCCAATTCCAGTTAAAATACATAAGAATTATTCCATAGATAAAAAAGCATGAAATAATTTGTCACGTGTGTTCTCTTTTTACTTTTATTACTGTCATTTATAGTGTTGTTTTCCAATTCTTTCTCTAAGCACATGGAAAGCAGATAGTATATAATACATTTTGTTTAATTCTAAGCAGTATTAATGCTGGATATTATGTTTTATACTAAAATGTGTCCATTTTCTAGAAAATATGGGAAAGAGAATTTGCATTGGTGTGGAAAAATCAGGGATATTTGCAAAACAGTAAATTGATTTGTTAAGCAAATATTGTTAATTTTTGTGACTTCCACAGTGTAAAATTAAGGAATAGAATAATAACTAACAAGTGGTAACATGCATTTTGAATCCTTGGTGTCTGTCTGTGTGTGGAAGGGAATCCAATATACAGAGAAAAGGACTTGGCCAATAACAATGTTTTAATTTCAACCCATATAAGTCTTGTTTGTATTTAATATATTTTTTATATTACAAATTTTGTGAAGTAAAAAAAAATAATGTCAAATTTGGCTCAGAAAAGGAATGGCCATCCTGTAGAAAGCATTATATGTGTTAAATTAATAGCTATTGGACAAATGGTAACTTAGTTTTCTGAGTTTTATATCTCGAATATTCCATTGTTCATTAATTTTATTTTTTTTAATTTCATTGCATTTTCAACTAAATTGGATCATATGAAAAATCCTTGTTTGAACATTGATCATTCCTCCAAGTTAGTGACCTTCACTCTCGACAGGTTTTGAAGAGACTTTATTATGTAATAACATTTACATGAATGTATACTACAATTGTAACAATTATCATATTGTTATTCATCATGTAAACTATTCACTCGGGTGTTGAAATAAGATTTTGAAATGTCAATGAATTCAAAATAATGAATGATGCATATATCTGAAATGTTAAAAGTTCAAACGTTGATTTACATCTTCACTTGGTTAGAGACAACAGGCAAAAGAAAGCTGTCGTATGCAGCCCTCTATACTGTGATTTAAGCAACTCTTTCCCTGGCAGATATCAGCTGTTGACAATTTCAACCAATCATGAGCTTGAACTTCACCATAGTGATGTCCTAATTGGATGAAACTGTCAACAGCTGATACGAGTACTTGCAAGGGGCAGAATTGCAAAAATCGCCGTTTTCATTCATGAACAACGAAACCATTCCGTTTGTAAAAATTCTGTCACCACAGGTGTTGGTGATGTTGTTCTGTATTGTTGTTATTATTATTATTATTATTATTATTATTATTATTTGATTAAATTCTGAGATAAGTTTTTACAACTAATTACAAACGTTTGTCATGATACATTGTCTTCATTATAACAGTTAATTAGTTAAATTACCAAATTTTTAAACATGTTAAACTTAAATACTTGCCTTTGACAAAAATATTTAATAATTCAAGTGTATAATTTAGTTTGTGGGTTTATCAGATTTGGTATATAATTACCTAGAAACTCTTATTTTTACTTTGTGTTTTAAACCAGTAATCAAATTGTTGTTTTTTTAGTTAAAAGACCATTAATAAGTGAACTACTAAACAAATAGAAATATATTTGTATTTGTTTAGTATGTTATTATGCCACCATCACTTATTTGCATGACTATTAGGGATCAATTTCTTGCTTTCAAATTTATACTAATGTTAAAAAGGACATTTTATTACGAATGCTTACATGCATTGATTACTAGTGCATTCTCCTGTTAAAGTAAACTGCTTTAATACTTTGCTGTTTATATCTCTAATTTTGTGCACATAAGGCTTGGTTATTGTTGTCATCCCGTCCATGTGTCCATTCATTATTGGAGCTATGGTCGCATGTATTTGCAACTTTTAGTGCTAAACCATTGTTATGTTGCTGAAATATGCTACTACAGCTGTCCAAAGTGCCAAACAGTGGGTGTATGATCCTCTCTTTTTTTTTTCCCCCCCTAGATGAAGTAGAAAACCATAGCTGCATATGCCCCAGCAACTTTATATTTAAAAATTAATTTCGTAAAACAATATTTCAATTAAGAACATTGACTGTTCCATTTGTTTTGGAACAGTAGCGTCAATTGGGTTGTACAATTTAACAGTAAGGTGAATCAAGTTGAAATCTATTACATCAACGCTCTCCTGTCCATTCAACACTGGGTGAAAACGGTCGGAAACTGGGGTAGAGTTTTGTTCCAAGGTACTGATCTGCAATGTGTTACAAATTCAATAAACTTGTTAATTCTATGCATTCACTTGCTTATGATTCAGTTGTATTAATTCATTTTTTGTACTTTTAGAGGTTATATATTTAATTGCTTGTTTTTAAGTTGATTTTTATTAATTGTAATTCATTGTAAAGTTTAGGTTGTTTTAATACAAGTGTTGGTGCAAAGTATTGATCACGTTTTACCTGGTACATTTATTGGTCATATTAATTAGCAAACAGACCTGGAAAAACCGAATATGTCAGGATATTTTATTTCCATGGAAAATTAAGTTTCAAAGTAAATAAAATGAGAAACCACAATTTGGTTGGGGAATAGAAAAGGTCACTACTCAAAAATGCTTTTGTCAGAAAATCACTTTCAAAATTTTGTTTGCTACATTGATTCATGTCAAAAATTCCATGTAATCAAAAAGTGCAATGTGCCCTGATTTCAATCTTATCATGGTAAATGCATATTAAGGGCCAGTTTCACCATATTTGATTATGTTCATCGTTATTTATTTTAAATTTAGTTACATTCAAGTTCAGTAATTTCACCATATACATCAAACATGATTCCTTGAAGTTAAGCAATGTACTCTCTTCTAGGTACTGCATCCTGAATCATGATTAAATCATATCATTTTTTTGAAAATATATTTGTAATTTAACTGTGAAATAAAAATCTGATAGAAGGACTAATCAATTACAAAGTTGATGTTAAGTATGTATTATATTTCTTATAAACATTTTCACATAATTGAACTATTTTGATAAAATAAAATTCAATATAATGTACAATAAAATAAACGAAATCATGAAACAAAGAACAAAAAACAATTTGTAGTAGTTATAAACTAATAGACAAAGCTTGAACAATGTCCACAATTCGAGATTTTAATTAAAATGTTTGATAAAGCTAGTTAAAGCGCATTAGAGATGATGATTATTAATAAATTTATTGATGCACTTTTAAAGAACAATATTCTTAAAGCTAATGAAAACATTAGATAATTTACTAGTTACTAATATT